CGCTAAAAGGAGAGTATAAAGTGTAAAACATTGGACAAGGTATGTTTTACTTTTTGCAATGGCGTCAGCACGAAGTTGAACGTTTTCTTTCATGCCAGAAAGATAATCGGCATCAACAAATGTACTTTTCCTGCTTGTGTTATCTGGGCATAGTAAAACATTAGCAGTAAATGACTTTCGTTTAAGATTCAAAAGTTCTTGAAATACCCTTTTATTGGGCTCTACCAGTAAGCCAGTCCAATTTCTATATCGTTCAAAAATAAGGAATTCGATAATTCTTTCCCATTAAAGGCCCCGCATTCTATGAAAAATCCATTTGTTTTTCCCTTGAGAAGATTGTCGATGTATTCACTCTGCCCATGTTGTGAAAAATGGTGGTTAATCGGTTCCTTCATTTTAGGAATCTCTGAGCTTGGAGGATGGATCCAGTTCAACTTAACGTGTTCAACCTGGAATCAGTAAACCTAAATGACAACATTTGTTGAAAGAATGTCTTGAGAAAACATAAATCTGTTAATCTGATTCCTAACTAAAGTAAACAAGATTATCATCTATATTAACAGTTCAACTTAACGTGTTCAACCTGGAATCAGTAAACCTAAATGACAACATTTGTTGAAAGAATGTCTTGAGAAAACATAAATCTGTTAATCTGATTCCTAACTAAAGTAAACAAGATTATTATCTATATTAACAGTTCAACTTAACATGTTCAACCTGGAATCAGTAAACCTAAATGACAACATTTGTTGAAAGAATGTCTTGAGAAAACATAAATCTGTTAATCTGATTCCTAACTAAAGTAAACAAGATTATCATCTATATTAACAGTTCAACTTAACATGTTCAACCTGGAATCAGTAAACCTAAATGACAACATTTGTTGAAAGAATGTCTTGAGAAAACATAAATCTGTTAATCTGATTCCTAACTAAAGTAAACAAGATTATCATCTATATTAAAAGTTCAACTTAACATGTTCAACCTGGAATCAGTAAACCTAAATGACAACATTTGTTGAAAGAATGTCTTGAGAAAACATAAATCTGTTAATCTGATTCCTAACTAAAGTAAACAAGATTATCATCTATATTAACAGTTCAACTTAACATGTTCAACCTGGAATCAGTAAACCTAAATGACAACATTTGTTGAAAGAATGCCTTGAGAAAACATAAATCTGTTAATCTGATTCCTAACTAAAGTAAACAAGATTATCATCTATATTAACAGTGATTAGTGATATTACTAAGTAAACAATAATTTAAACATTACCTTGTAAACGAATGATTTAATGATATGCCGAACATTCTGATTAAACAGATTAATCAGTTTATAAATATTTCACCTGGTAAACAATGATTAAGCCTAATGACTTTTGCTGAGACATAAATAATATATATATAACTATGTTAAGTAAACATTGGTTAAATACTTGGCTAAGTTAACAATAATTAATTTTGCTCCTGAACAATGATTCAATAGTCCGTCTATGATCAAATTCCTTACTAAGTAAATAATGACCCATGTCTTAAGCATACTTACTAAATGTCCATCGCTCGGATTAGAAAATCCAATTTCGTAAAAGTCTGCTGGTATTCTTGTTGGATTTATATGATCTTCTTTAGTGTGCTGATTCAAAGAAATAATGCATCTGGATAAGATGCAGTACATCATTATCAGTAAAAGGACCAGTATAAGGAATATTATAGACGTTTGTCTCTGGCTGGGCATCTGAAAAATTATGAATGTCATGTAGAATATTTCTGTCAGTAATACGTTTTATTTTCGTGTCGATGCCATACACTGACTCTGACTTGCTTTTACTATCAAGTTCTTTTTAATTACAATAATACATTTACCACGAAGCACATGCGGATAAGGGAAAATACTAAAAACCTTACATAAACCCAGCAAAAAAGCAAACTCTAAGTGTTAACCTGTCATTGGAAAAATAGACCCTATTTATCCGTAAACCATGATCTCACGTGAAAAGAACTAGTGTCTAACATCACCTTTCCCCCAAACAAGAATCAATATCATAATCCAGGACCAGAACACCAAGGGACTTTTCATTTATACTGAAGTCATTACAATACCTGTTGAAGAAAAAATGATAGCCAATACTCATTACATCAAAAACAGTAACAATTGTAGAGTACTCTACAACGCATTCAGTCTCAAATGATGAGGGACAGATGAAATCAAGTCTCGAAGTCAGTAGGCTATTTAAAGGGTCAACATCCATTCGCAAAGCAGTTGCATGCCATAATCCATAAAACACAATAATTCACAATGGCAATAAATACATGGAAACATCTTATGAGACTTGCAAATCTATCTTAAATGTTACTCAAAATTAAAACAATTCTGATTTGGGCTTGGAGGGGAAGTCATGCAAGTTTCCCAATATAACCGAGCATATCCTAGATTCACATGCATTTTGAGAAGAGCCACGTTATATACAGTATATATATTTCTTTTTTAGAATGCATTTCAGTCAATGACTGGGCAGTGTCATGTAATAATTACTATATTATGTGTCAAACGAATGAGATCGGAATAGCAAAAAATGTGCGTGAATGCAAATATCCCTGTTGCCAGAGTTCATATAATACAAACGCAGTGTAATACCATCCTGCAGAAATCTTGGTGTCAGGATTCATACAGGACTGACACAAACACATGTGTATCCAATATGATTACACACAGGATTTTCATTTTGGTGACATTTTGTCATTTTAATTGCTTTGTACTATTCATTTTATATGCTTTGAGATGCTTCTGGCAATACATTTGACATTTGAGTATATTTTATCTTATTTTCAACAATGCTTGGTAATATAAAATATGCATATGATATATATATATATTATTTTCTGGTAAGGATCTTGAACAAACTATCTTTCAATTGACTATAAATCATGAACTTTCTATCATAAACGAATGGTTCAAATGCAACAAGCTTGAAGCCTCAAAATATTTTGTAGCAACAAAAATTTCAAAGACTCTAGCAGCACTTCATAAAGTGAAACAAAACTAAGATTACAAAGCCCTTAAAACAATATATAATTCTCTCATTTATTCTTATATCAACTGCAATTATGTAATAATCTGGGGAAATGTTCCACATTTATATCTAATTAAAAGTCAGAGATTACAAAAATATTTTTTTAGAAAACATTTAATAATTGCAAGCCCAGAGACAACACAAATCCTTATTTTAATGATGCTGGCATTTTAAATATTTTCCAAGTTTTTGAACTCAATTCTGCTTTTTATGTATTTAAATGTGTCAAAGTTGCCAACAGAAACAATTTACCCATTATTTCATTTCGAAATGGACACACATCAACACCTGAAATGACAAGAGTTTAAATCTTAAGAATTATTGTCCAATATTAGTCTTAAATTTTGCAGGACTAAAATTTAAACTGCACTTTCAAAATGTATTTTGAGTCTTTTTGGATTTCTCTGGCAGAGTATCTTATTTGCTATGTCTAATGGCTATTTGGTGAGTGACATTCAAAACAGCCTTTTCCTCTACTGTTTTTCAACTTAGCCATGTACTGCCCATAAACTATCGAGGAATCCTTGAAGACGTATAAAATATATCGGTTGTCCCAAAAAATGAATCGCTTTTCGACAAGTATTTTCTAGGCAATTAAATAACCAAATCCACGGGAAAAAGTAGCTCAGGAGTATCATTAAATTGAGTTGTAAAAGTACAGAAAAGATTGGTTATATATTTTGTGGGAACTAAGAAATTCAAGATAGCATGCTAAAAGATCCCATACTGATCTGATACTTGTTGAGTAATGCATAATAACAAGCGAGCCACAACAAAACGTAAAAGACAGAAATATCTGAATCGAACCCACGACCTGTCGCACCTGAGGCGACAATTCTGCCAATAGAAAAACTGTTCAATTAAGATTAAGGAGGCAACGAGACAGTCAAGTTGCTACGGGGTCCATCTTTCAACGTCCATTCAATGCGTGTCTTGTTTCTCTTGGATTGTGTAATTACTTCTTTGTTCTCCCTATTGTATAGCCAAATTAGCACTATGTTTCTAGAGAAAATCATTTGAAAAATTAAGCCTATCACTATGCATTTTGTTAAGGCAGAGATGGGTACTTTGAAAGTCTTGAGTACTTACTGTTAGATGTTATTCTCAGTTCCTCGTTTTCACAATAATTAATGTTTTTCGACTTTCTCGACACCGAGCTCAATATACATCTAATTGAAGATTAGATTCTTTATGTTTTCATCTAAGCAAGTTCACATTACTGACAATCATTTTAGGGGAGGAGCTTGGAAGAGGGCTGGTTGGTCCTAAGATAATATCTTACTAAACGCTTGATTGTTATGTAATATTATATATATACTTATATATGTTACGTAATTCTATTGTTATATTTTAATAATTTCAATAACAGGCAAAACAGATGTTTTGTTTGTTTTTACAACAAAGCTTTGGTAAACACGTGCGTGTGATAAACATAAATATATTAATATTTAGTTATATTTCACATTTAGTTTCTGAAAAACCGAAAGTGGAGAGGCCTATGACGCGACTTACACGTGTTAAGTTCTGAAATCATTAATCACACATCATATCAGTTTATTTATTGAATTCTACTGAAATACCTTAAAGGAGTTTTAACGTAACTCTGAATTAGAAGGAGTGACTTGACTTATCCCGTCTGTGAATTGTTCATAAATCCATTTCTAAGCTTGATTGATCAGGAGTTGTTAATGATATTGACCTTATGTTTTTAAGACACTAATTGGTCGTAGCCCTACCCGATAAGCATATCCACCACTCATCATGGACATAAATATGAGTCTCCTAACACTCGGAAGCGTCAAAGCATAATGAAGATTTTCTTAATTTTATAAAAAAAAATTCTATATTCTGCATTGCGTTTTGAAGGACATTTCATGTGCCAGGACATATATATCGATGTTTTAAAAATCATTATATATTCATGCACGAAATATCGCCTGCTTGGAAGCAGAAGGGGCTATATGCATTTTTTTAAGAAAATGAGATTTTTACACCATCAGAAGCAGATACATCATATCTACCTTGTGTAGAAATATCTAAGTAGTTTGATGATTAATAAAAGAGTTATTTTGTTTTTTAAAAAGGCCTATGTGCTGATATGCTATTTCTCTATAAGCTATAAGGGGCTATGTGCATAATTACAATGCAAGAAGGTGTTATCTGTCATATAACACCTTCTGGTTTTCTGTTTCTGGCTACTGCTACAAGAGGATCACTGAAGTAACCTGATGCCACTAGGTCAGTTTACAAGCCTATCTCACTGACTTCCATTCAGCTCATGTTACAACATCCAATGATATCACCTAACAAATAGCCTACAATGGTTCTAATCTATCCATGTACATCTCCCCTTGTGAATCACATGTTTTTTGCTTGTCTGGTGTAAAATTAGATAAATAAGGTAAGTTTTACACTTTTATTTTGTACAATATATAAACAATTATTTAACTTACAAAGATAATATCCTATTGCATCTCATTATACTCATTATAAAAAAGGGCATGACGTTTATTGTACCAATACCATAGGCATAGCCCCCCCCCCAAATAAATTATATTTTGATTTTAATTTAAATTATAATTATTTTCCTGTTTATTTGAAGCATACAATATGTTACGTTTGTTTTTTAGTTGAGAAATGGATACGGTTGATATGGATATTTGGTCCGATGACGAAGCGTTTGCAAATATTGATCTAGAGCAATACAATTATGAGAATACGATCCCTGGTTGTTTGGAAAAAACAGGTCCAGATAAATTGGAACAGACATCTACTGATCATGTTTACAATGTCCAAGACCGTGTGAACCAGATAGCCCCTGATTGTGTGAACCAGATAGCCCCTGATTGTGTGAACCGGATAGCTCCTTATCGTGTGAACCAGATAGCCCCTGATCGTGTGAACCAGATAAACCCTGATTGCGTGAACCAGATAGCCCCTGATTGTATGAACCAGATAGCCCCTGATCGTGTGAACCAGATAGCCCCTGATCGTGTGAACCAGATAAACCCTGATTGCGTGAACCAGATAGCCCCTGATTGTGTTAACCAGATAGCCCCTAATCGTGTGAACCAGATAGCCCCCGATCGTGTGAACCAGATAAACCCTGATTGCGTGAACCAGATAGCCCCTGATTATGTGAACCAGATAGCCCCTGATCGTGTGATCCAGATAGCCCCTGATCGTGTGAACCAGATAGCCCCTGATCGTGTGAATCAGATAAACCCTGATTGCGTGAACCAGATAGCCCCTGATTTTGTGAATCAGATAGAACCTGATTGCCTGAAACAGATAGCCCCCGATTGGGTTAACCAGATAGACCCTGATTGTGTGAGCCAGATAGACCCTGATTGCCTGAACCAGATAGCCCCCAATTGCGTGAACTAGATAGACCCTGATTGCCTGAACCAGATATCCCCCAATTGCGTGAACCAGACACCCCTTGTTTGTGTGAGTCAGATAGACCCTGATTGCGTCAACCATATAGACCCTGATTGCCTGAACCAGATAGCCCCCGATTGCCTGAACCAGATAGCCCCCGATTGCCTGAACCAGATAGCCCCCGATTGTGTGAACCAGATATCCCAAGATTGTGTGAACCAGATAGCCCCTGATTGTGTGAAGAAGGCAGCTCCTGATCATGAATTAGATATAACCCCCAATGTCCTTGATACATTGTTTAATCCACCCGGCTGGGATCAGAACATAAATCTACCAACCTTCGCAGGTAAACATTTGAATACATTTGAAACATTTGAATAAAATAGACCTAGTAATTGCATAACATTTTATTACTTTTGAAATAGTTCTATAAGCTTATTTTGTAATAATTTGTTATACCTATTTGGAATCTATATTGTGTAATTTGTGATTGAAAAATAACATCGATATCTTATTAATTCATATTATGGACAGTGTGTTTAAGATATTCCATTTGTAGGAAACCAAGAGATGAAACCTGGATGGTCTACAGAAGATGACACACCATTGATAAATCTAAAGCCAGTGCATCTCGACGGGCCTTCAGAATGGGACACAGAGGATGAAAGACCATTAGTCACCAATAAATACATAGGAATTGAAGAAATGAACAGTGAATCAGAGGTTATTGATGATGTGGACGCTGACTCTAGTTTTAATCCAACTCCTGCTGACATTAACTCAGATGATTCTGAAGCAGATATGTTACTGTCTTTGTGTGTGAAAAAACGCAAAAGCACTTTAAAGTCACGAGACAAAGGGTGAAAAAAGAAACCGACCAAGGCATTCGGTAAAACATCCACAACACCTCTGAGTAGGCAGAGCAAAAGTAGGTCCTACAATCAAGTACTTGAACCAAGAAGTTGCGAAAACTACAAGGAAAGTATGAGGCGTATTAAACGCAAAAGTCTTCAAGAAAAGCTAATAGCTGACAAGGCTAAACAATACCACAGAGAACGGTTGGACAATTTGCTCAATAGCAATGAGTTGAAAAGAGTAAATGTTGCTCCTCATGGAGACTGCTTTTTTGAAGCAGTTCTTCTGAATTCAGGTGAGGAAAACCTGTATCATAATATTGATGAGTTTAGGCAGGTTGTCTGCTGGCATCTCCTTCAGCATTGGAAGCGTCACACGCAAATGGAGGTGGACTCTGTTCATTCAAACATTGAACGTGCAAAGAAAAAACAGAGGTATTTGTTCCAAGTCAGTGGAACACTGTCATCACCCTTTCTAGAAAAAACAATCCTTATCTTGTTGTTCCTTTAAATACAATGATGTCAATGACTGGAAACAGTTTGTCAGAAAGCAGCGTTCAAACTTAAAGTTTGACATCAATTCCAAGCGAATAAACTGGTTAAAAACAAGATGGATTAGAGTGAAAAAGTCCTCCCCAAATAGTATATTTTTTAACAACTCCTTCAATGAAGATGAGTTTATGGAAGTAAACATAAGAAGTGGGACCGGAACTAAAATAGGAAATCCAGGAAAATGGATACATGGTCCAAATCAACTATACAGTCATAAATTACCAATATCATCAGCAAAAAAGTAAGATTTGTTATCACTATGTCAAAGCCTTACCATTCCTAATGAATTTCACCCCTATTTCTCATCTCTTGAAGTTGACAGAAAGCTTTCTGACAAAATTCCTATGAATGTGTCCGACTGCTCAGATGATACAGACTCTGACTTCTAAATCATAGTAATATTGAACTTAATTAATAAAGTGTATCTCATATTAATTCATGTGATTTGAATGTATGTATATTTATATCCTGGTGTCACTTTTTGTTATTTTCATGTATACATCTCAAATTTGTGTACAATATCAAAATGTATTTTACGATGAAACAAAATGTATTATTCAATGTTAAAATTTAAATATCTTTCTGTTCCATAATGAAATTGTACAAGGGCAAAAAATAAGAGAAACAATGCATTAAAGTGACAAAATGTCAGTATCAAGACTGCTATTGTAGTGTGACATAAATCAGTTGGTGACTATAACAAAGAATACCCTGCTTTTGTTAGAGACACAAAAATATTCTATGAATGAAAACATCTAAAATATCTAAATAAATTATCACAAATAATAATATGAAATGGAACTTTGATTTGGTTTAATGAAATAATCAAACATCAATGCATAGCAGGATAAAATGAGCCCACTCCAATGAATATCAAGTAAAAAATCCACAATGCTAAAAGGAGTTATCTACCAAATAGACCCTTTGCTTATGTATGACAGCATCATTTGACAATGCAAGAAGGTTCTATGTACCACATAGCACCTTTTTGCGTTTAACATTTGTACTAATTGTTAAGAGCCAAAAGGTCCTATGTGCAAATTAGTGAATATCTTTTTAATTAGGTAACCTTTCACAATCGACACTTAACACATGTTAGATATTATCATTCTGAATGTTTATGTATAAAAAGTATATGCAATATCAATATACTTGAATTCATATTGGGTTTCAAAGTTTGTTTTTGCATTTTCTCAAAATCAGAAAAAGTGCACATAGCCCCTTCTGCTTCCAAGCAGGCGATATGCACTAATGCGGTATAAAGTAAAGAAATATAGTAAATTTTGTCTTCAGAATACCACCTTGTGTAACCCCACTTAAGTGCCTTTTCCCCAGCTTCAATCAATATATCAATGTTTTAAAAATCATTGCTATCATACATAAAATATGCACTTATGTGGTATAAAGAAATAAAGTAAACATTGTCTTCAGAATACCACATTGTGTAACCCCACTTTAGTGCCCTTTCACCTTTTTCTATCAATATATCGATGTTTCAAAATTATTTGATACCATACACGAAATATGCACTTATGTGGGAAAAAGTAAAGAAACATACTGTAAAACGTTGTCTACAGAATGTCACCTTGTGTAACCCCGTTTTAGTGCCTTGTTTAGTTCCTTTGCCCTTGTTTATATCAATTTGAAAGGTGTTGACTTTATGAGGGAAGTCTGTTCTATCAAACGGTAGAATCATTTTCTGTGGGAAAGTACCGGACAACAAAACTCCTTTTCAGAGGGACCCGATCAGGGACTAGTTATTTGTCAAACCAATATCGGCACTTAATTCAAAACTAATGAAAAATGGTATCAGCCGATCGTCGTATACGATTGGATATATGGGGTGTCCCACAAAATGAGAAACTTTTTGACAAGATTTTTTTGGCAACTGATGAACGAAATTTACTGAAAAGTCCAAGCAAAAATACTTCTCAATATTTATTCTAACGACCTCCAATGTATTTTGAGAATGAATGGATTTTGGATAGTTGACAAGAATGAAACTAATTAATTAGACATGACACAGTACACAGACAAGCTATTTTGACTGATTGACAGATGCTATCACATGAACGCTGGTAAGCGGTCTCATTGCAGAGCTCCGGCATTGGGATTTTTGACATGCTATTTTGAATTTCTTAGTTCTCACAGGTTACTTACTTTAAGGCTACTTTGTACAAATTATCAGTAAATTTGGTTCATCAGTTGCCAAAAAATACTTGTCAAAAAAAGTCTCATTTTTGGGACACCCGATATAAGGGTTATGTACTGGGAGGTTTTGGATATGGGGTTTATCCAGAGAGATATGCATATCTCACGAGGGAGGAACCCAATATCCAATTTTTTTCAAATTTGTTTCAAAACTTTGATTTTGATATAACATGTTCTTTTTTCCCGATTTATCAAATTTATACTAATGGTACATACTAAGCGTGATAAGTCTATCTCAAATTTATTAATGTATGTGTAGATATGACATGAACTATGGGAATCGTTATTAATCATTTGAATTTATCTGGTAGATCCGAAGGCAAGTTATCTTACCAAACTTCAACCTTTCATATTTATGGGACACAATATGTTTGGAGTATGTATATCTTTAAATTAAATTCACCAAGTCCTTTTGAAGGCTAAAATCAAAGGGATACAGCGTTCAATTTCTGAAATAACTGTTAGGATATACTCGACAAATTGCCTAATTTACTTGAATACATTTATTTTTAGTGCGCTTGTATCATTTTCTTGGCTATTTTTCATCAAGATATTTTTGAATATATCATCGAGATATTCGAATTCATGATTCATTGGTTTGTTATGTACGTATGGACCATTACTTCATTTAAAAACACTACACATTTCAAATTCAGATAGTGATGTTGATGATTCCACTAAAGATGTTATGTAGTTTATGTAGTTTATGTAGACGATCATAGTATAGAATGTGTAACCCCAGATGATATTGCAATAATTTATTTGGGAATGTTTCAATGAGTAGTAAATTGTTTCGAAACTGTCTGCTTGAAGTAAACGGTTAATGTGATTAAATGAACCAATAACGCGAGAAATCTTAGTTTCTACAGATTTCATATGCTCTTTAAATTTCAGGTTTTTATTAATAATAGTTCTCGAAAAGTAAATACATCGGTCTTTCCAATGCTTAGTGAAAGTTTGTTTGCTTTAATCCAGCCATTAATTAAATTCCAATTTTTATTTGTTCTAATATTATTTATTTTTCTGAGTTTATTAGTTTATCATTTATATTATAATCGCTATCCAGCAGTTTGGTGTTGTAAGCAAACATAATAAATTTTAGATTAGGGGCAACAATAGGTAGATCCTTTATATAAAAAATTAAATGAAAGCGATCCAAGTACAGAGTCCCGCGGCTCACCACCATTTAGAGATGGTTGACTAGATACGTTATTGTTAAAGGTGACAAACTGTATGCGATCTTTTAAATAGTTTTCAAACCATGACTAAGCTATTCCTCTAATGCCATAATATTCAAGTTTTTGTATTAATATCATTATTAATTGTATCAACGACCTTGGAAAAATCTAAAGTTATTAACACTGCTTTAGTTATTGTCCGTTATTGACGTAATGGACAGTGCTCAACTTTGCTCTCTACATTATCGATGAATTTAAAAAATGATATTGTCACATTGAATTATGATATTAGTATTCACTAAACAATATTTTGTAACATTTTGCACTGGTAAAACTATATTGAGTAGTATTATAAAGGGTCATTCTAAATTGTAGTAAGATGAATGTGTTTCATTTGATCCAAAAGGACTGCACCCTTTTACTTCCCGACCAAACTTGTTTGATTTTTGATTTTTACAATAATTTGGGCATTTTATTTTTTTTATTGGTTTCATAAAAATAATACTAATATCTGTAGAATTGTCTATTCCGGGTGATTAACTCACTTTAAGATGTAATTGATCGATTTAACAAAATCATGCTCTTTTCATAATGGAGTCCAGTTCTATTTATTGCCGCCAGAAGGCCTCAGTGTATAACACAATCTGACAGCACAATCTTGGATTGTGCCAAACTGACATTTATAATTATAGTTTTATGATATTACACCACAACATCTAGGCACAAATGCCAAAAGGAAAGGGACAAAAATTGTAAAGAAACCTAGCAAGAAAAGCAGGCTCTAAGTGTAGACTCTATACATAACCCAAAACCTTGATCTAACGTGAAAAGAAACAGTGTTTAAAATCCCCCTTCCTCAACAAATCGGGGACCGATAGCACAATCAAGGACAAGAACACCAAGGTACGTTTCATTCATACTAAAGACATCACAATACATTTTAGAAGAAAGATTGAAAAAAATTGATATCCAATACTCATTACACCAAAAATAGTTGTAAATACTAGTACGCATAAAATGTAAAGCATTCAGTCTCAAATGATGTGGGATAGATGAAATCCAGTCTCGAACTCCACAGGCAAGTCAAGGGGTCAACATCCATCCACAAAACCGTTGCCGTAATCCATAAAACACATTATTCACAATGGTCTTCGATATTTTGACTTTTAAATTTCATTAGTTGTCTATTTACAGTATCCTTAATTCTTGAAAAACCCACTCATCTAATGCGGATTTATCGGCATGCTCTAGTCAATGGAATTACTTCCGAATATGAAGCGCAGCAACATTCGAAGCAATATTAAAGGAGGTGCATATATATGTCTTGCTGAAAAAACCTCCGGCTTTAGGGTCGAAAAATGTCTTTCATCACAAGGAGTCAAAAACGAAAATATTTATTATTGCAAACATATTAGTTTTCTTACCATTTAAAACATTTTATTTCAAGAATTTATCCATATTATCGCACGAGGTCAAACAAGAAATTATTGTTCATGTTTTTTAAAACATAATATACTAACAAATATGTAAGACTTATATCTAATTAAATGTAACATAGAAATTCAGCTGTAGTCGCAATAAGTCAAGGAAGAGCAATATGCCCTTCTTTATTGATGATAATCACCGCCGAATAACAGTCCATATCTAAAAACGTATTGACACCGATTTTGTGAAAACTAGCCTAATTTAAGCATTTGTCATTCTTATAAAAAGTGATTCATTTATACCGTTTATGTAGCTGGATCATTCTGGTTTCCTTGGCACTCAAGGTTAGGCAAAA